CAAGAAGTCTTAACAAAATTAGCCAGTCGGCTGATTGTTGGTTAATTGGGTTAGAAACCTATTGACTACACGAGGGTCATTAAGACTACACGAGGGTCATTAAGACTACACGAGGGTCATTAAGACTACACGAGGGTCATTAAGACTACACGAGGGTCATTAAGACTACACGAGGGTCATTAAGACTACACGAGGGTCATTAGGACTACACGAGGGTCATTAGGACTACACGAGGGTCATTAAGACTACACGAAGGTCATTAAGACTACACGAGGGTCATTAAGACTACACGAGGTCATTAAGACTACACGAGGGTCATTAGACTACACGATGGTCATTAGGATACACGAGGGTCATAGATAAGGATGACTACACGAGGTCATTAGGACTACACGAGGGTCATTAGGACTACACGAGGGTCATTAGGACTACACGATGGTCATTAGGACTACACGAGGGTCATTAGGACTACACGATGGTCATTAGGACTACACGAGGGTCATTAGGACTACACGAGGGTCATTAGGACTACACGAGGGTCATTAGGACTACACGAGGGTCATTAGGACTACACGAGGGTCATTAGGACTACACGAGGGTCATTAGGACTACACGAGGGTCATTAGGACTACACGAGGGTCATTAGGACTACACGATGGTCATTAGGACTACACGAGGGTCATTAGGACTACACGAGGGTCATTAGGACTACACGAGGGTCATTAGGACTACACGATGGTCATTAGGACTACTCGAGGGTCATTAGGACTACACGGTGGTCATTAGGACTACACGAGGGTCATTAGGACTACAGGAGGGTCATTAGGACTACACGAGGGTCATTAGGACTACACGAGGGTCATTAGGACTACACGAGGGTCATTAGGACTACACGAGGGTCATTAGGACTACATGTTAACAGCGATACACCAGTAGGGACTAAACTCTCAGTGTATATACACTGAGAAGATGCACCTCACGGTGCACATACACTGAGACATACATGGGGTATATATCCTAGGCTAATTAAAGGACATGCATATACACTGCTAGCAGTGTATATGCATGTCCTTCCATTAGCGTGGGTGCTCACTGCCTGCTACACTGAGTGTGGGTGCTCACTGCCTGCTACACTGAGTGTGGGTGCTCACTGCCTGCTACACTGAGTGGTGGTGCTCACTGCCTGCTACACTGAGTGTGGGTGCTCAATGCCTGCTACACTGATGTGTGGTGCTCACTGCCTGCTACACTGAGTGTGGGTGCTCACTGCCTGCTACACTGAGTGTGGGTGCTCACTGCCTGCTACACTGAGTGTGGGTGCTCAATGCCTGCTACACTGAGTGTGGGTGCTCACTGCCTGCTACACTGAGTGTGGGTGCTCACTGCCTGCTACACTGAGTGTGGGTGCTCACTGCCTGCTACACTGAGTGTGGGTGCTCACTGCCTGCTACACTGAGTGTGGGTGCTCACTGCCTGCTACACTGAGTGTGGGTGCTCACTGCCTGCTACACTGAGTGTGGGTGCTCACTGCCTGCTACACTGAGTGTGGGTGCTCACTGCCTGCTACACTGAGTGTGGGTGCTCACTGCCTGCTACACTGAGTGTGGGGTGCTCACTGCCTGCTACACTGAGTGTGGGTGCTCACTGCCTGCTACACTGAGTGTGGGTGCTCACTGCCTGCTACACTGAGTGTGGGTGCTCACTCCCTGCTACACTGAGTATTGGGTGCTTTCCTTTACTGGAAAACTAGACATTGAGCCAAATTTTCTTTAACGTGGTGAGAATCAAGCCTAAAACCCTTGCAAATTTATTTTAAATAATTTCTGTCACCGCACGTGATAGTGGAGCTCTCCTGTCAACGCACGTGATAGTGGAGCTCTCTTGTCAACGCACGTGATAGTGGAGCTCTCCTGTCAACGCACGTGATAGTGGAGCTCTACTGTCACCGCACGTGATAGTGGAGCACTACTGTCACCGCACGTGATAGTGGAGCCTACTGTCACCGCACGTGATAGTGGAGCTCTACTGTCACCGCACGTGATAGTGGAGCATACTGTCACCGCACGTGATAGTGGAGCTCTACTGTCACCGCACGTGATAGTGGAGCACTACTGTCACCGCACGTGATAGTGGAGCACTACTGTCACCGCACGTGATAGTGGAGCTCTACTGTCACCGCACGTGATAGTGGAGCACTACTGTCACCGCACGTGATAGTGGAGCACTACTGTCACCGCACGTGATAGTGGAGCACTACTGTCACCGCACGTGATAGTGGAGCACTACTGTCACCGCACGTGATAGTGGAGCTCTCCTGTCAACGCACGTGATAGTGGAGCTCTACTGTCACCGCACGTGATAGTGGAGCACTACTGTCACGCCGTGCAGAGAGCTCGATAGGGAGCACAAACTGGTCAGAACGTGAAGTTGAAGACTAGACGAGCACGTGATAGTCGAAGCACTCTGTCACAAGCGTCAGGAAGTGGAATAGGTTGCAAGT